TAATTTTTTGGTGTGAATATTTTATGTGCACATGGTGTTGTGAACATATACTTATCAATATATTGTGTAAATAGTGAATATTTTAATAGGAAATTTTGTCCTAATAAAATATCACATCCTATTGTGGTTGACATATATATTGTATCAACAAGTACTTCTCTAAGGGAAATTAGAAAAGGTACTTGCGTAGCATACTTGCTATATATTACCTTATTTCCTCCTGCTGTTGTAGCAGTGACTATCTTCTTTGAATTGTATTTCCAGTATTCAGATGGTAGCACATTTGGTAAGCATAAATTTATTGTACTTCCTGTATCTAAGTAAGCATGTAATTTAATCCTACAGTAGTTTTTTATATTGAGTGTAATTTCAATATATGGACTCATGGGATTAGTACTTATTACTCTTTCCATAATAACAATGATTTCATATTTTCATCTATTCTTGGAATGATAATTGGATTATCGTCAACTGTTATTTTCAAATATCCTTGACAGATTTTATATGGACTATATTTTTCAAGAAAGTTCATTCCTAATAGAATAGGTGAACGATCTACTCCATATAACTCATCTTTGTATAAAATTATTTCTTTAATATATTCTTTCTGATCCTCTCCTATAAGTATAAGAGGGAATTTAACATATTTTCTTATTTTAAGATTATTTCCCAAATAATCCTTAAATATATATGATTCTGGTATTTCAAATTCTATTAAATGATTAACAAATTTGGCATTTACATGGCTTTTATCTGCTCTAGTATCTATAAGGACAAGAAGATTCTTTTTAAACCCTTCTTGGTTTACATATCTTGTCTTAATGTAATATTGTGAACTTGATGATTCAGCAATACTTAAATTCTTAAGTCTGCCTATCCTAGAGCTTGTCTAGAGGGAAATCTTGTAATAAGATTATCTCCTTCTAAGCTAACACTATTTCTTCTTATTAGTTTTCCTTCAAAATTAATTTCTTTTGCTTGTTTATGAAAATCAAGCATTATTTGTTCTGGTATCGTTACTTCATGTTCTTGGTATTTTCTAGGAGGTATATATTGTGCTAATTCCTCAAAATATTTATGTATGATAATATTATCAGTTATCTTTCTTAGATTATTATGATGGCTAGTACTAAAAGCAAAAATTGATTTTATGCTTATACTAATAGCCTTACTTTTTCGTAACATTTTCAGATTTCCAATTCTATAGTATAGATTGAAACTTTGGTCAATATTTTCATCATTTAAAGATATTGCATAATTTGGTTTCACTGTAAATATTATCTTCTGATAGACTAAGTTTCCTACAACTGTTCCTAATAGAGCATCTATAGGATCTTGTAAGATTCTATTGTCCATACAGTAGATTTCTATTGGTATATTCATGCCTTCTCTAAAGAATCCTTTTACCATTATCTGGACTCCTCCTAATTCAATACATTTCAATTTATTTCTTATATTTTCTGGGATTTTGGATAATTTTTGTTTTACCCATTCTTTTGTAATTATAGGAATTCTTGCCTTTCCTATAGTATCTTCTATATTGATAGACATTTCTTTATAGTTCATACTTACAATTGTTTTATTTACTCTTGGTAAAATTCCTAAGAATCCTTGATGGAATACATCTTTTTCTTGTAAATCTAATATCTTTTTAGTGATTCCTGCATATTTTTTAATATCAAAAGTAATTTCCTGATTAATACATTCTATAGAATCTTCGACTTCTTCAGTTGTTTCAATTTTTATTTCTGATTGTTCTATCTCCTGATTCATATATACTATCTCATCATAATCTTCTTCTGATGAGGATGTGTCTAATTCAAAAATGCTACTACATTCACTGCTTAAATTTTCAAAATATTCAATTGGTTCTATGTCACTACTAAATTCTACTTTTATAGTTTGATTTGAAGATGGATTAGTATTCATCTTTATATTTTCCATTTTTTTTGTTAATTCTTCTAACTATTTTTTATATTCTTCATACTCTTCACCTGTAGATTCTAAGAATTTCTGTTCTATTTCTTCTACATCTGTAATCATATATTGTTTTTCTTCATGCTTTTTTCCTTTATTTTGTGTTATTCTAAAATCTTGGGGCGGATTAATTATAATCCTATCTTTTCCTCTAAGGTTTTTATCTAATAAGGCATTTTCTATTTGTAGATTATGTCCTAGATTCTCTAATCTTTTATGTATATCCCCAAAATTTTCATTTGTGGTATTTTTAGGTAAATAAGGATAATTAGGTTTTTTATGTTTTTCAACTTTTTTCAAAAATTCTTCAATTATATTTTCTTCATCTACTATATTCATCATAATTTTTGATTCGTAATCTGGCTCTGATACCATTTTACCAGAGTGTGCAGCGGAGGGGTTATTATTTTTAAGCCAATTAAAATCTTCATAAGTATTTAAAATATCGCAATAAAATTTATAAAATTCACTATTTTTTATTAATACTTTTTCTTTAATGATTTTATTTAATTCTTTGATTCTTCTTCTCAGATTAAGAATTAGTTTATATATATCATTTTCTGTTTTGATTGTATTATTATCTATAGAAATGTTTTTATTTCTTAATTTTGGATCTAAATATTCTGTAAAAAATCCTTTCAGTTCTTCTTTTAAATATTTTAATTCATTTTCTGTAGCATTTCTTAGGTCAATAAAATTTTCTATAATATTTGGATTTAAATTAATTAAAGATTTTTGGTCTATATTTTCTTGAGGACCTATTTGAAGATTTTTATACATTATAGTGACTTTGGTTACAATTTTTTCTATAAGGGATATTTTTGGAAATATGGTTGTTTGAAAACTATTTTTCAAATGTTTTCATTTCTTAGTCTATTTTCAAAAACCTTCCTTTTATTTAGGCTGTTTGGCTATATTTCCCTAGGCTGTGTGACTGGTTTTAAGTCGGTCATTTGTGATGAATTTGTGCATATGTGATTGCTAGCACTAGTGTCAATAATCCAAGTATCATATTTCAGTTCATCAAGTGAAGTAAAAACAAAGTGTTGAGTGTGCGTACCAGAATAATCACTGAGATGTGCAAAATTCACTTGATCTTCATTATCATTAAGCTTCTTTCCTTTCAGTATTTTCATCAGTTCTTGCTGAACAATGGCAGCAATATCGGAAGAGGATGATGTATCCTTTGTAGTCACAGCAGCAAAATCATTATCAAAATCAAGTGGTGAATTATCTATTTTCATCACATTATTTGAAGCATTTCTCCAGCTAGGATCCTTTGGTTTTTGATCTTTTTTGTACCAATCCGGAAAGCCAATAATTCTGAAACATCCTTCCTTTGAATGTCCACTCATACCGCAGTGGTCACAGTACATCAGCTCCTTATCAAAATTGCCATATCTTCTGTTAATTCCCCTTCCTACAGCATGGTTTCCTCTACCAAAAGCAGATCTACCTGTCCAATTTCCTCTCCCAGATCCATTTCTTCCACGTCCATCATTCCTAGTAGTAACTCTTCTAATCATCATCGCAGTGTTATCATTGGTTTCAGGATACAACATATGCACTTCTCTTTGTTTTTCCACTCTTAGAACCATAGAATAGGCTCTATTCACTGAGGGTAAAGGCTCCATCTCAAGAACTTGATTTCTGACATTGTCGTATGTATCATTCAGCCCCATCAAAAATTGCATAAGTTTGTTGAAAGAAGCTGAATCAGAGACTTCCTTCGCAGCTCCACATGTACAGACCGGTGATGGCATAAGACATGCTATTTCATCCCATAATTTTTTAAGATTGGTGAAATATTTCTCCACCGTCATTGATCCTTGTGTCATACTACTGATCTCTCTCTGCAACTCGTAAAGTAATGGCCCATTGCATTCACCATATCTCTCGTTTAATTCATCCCATAAATCCTTGGCTGATGTCGTGAAAATAAATGCCTCCACAATTTCCTTCGAGATTGAATTTAAGATCCAAGATCTAACCATACAGTCTACCCTATTCCATTGATCAAAATTTTGAGATTCATTATCTGGTTTCTCACATTTCCCGTTTATGAATCCCAACTTCAATTTTGCACCTAATGCTATTTTAATGGACCTGCTCCAGCTGAGATAATTTTTTCCTGTCAATTGTAAAGTCACAAGGATCATTCCTGGATGATCCGAACTCTGCAAATCCAATGGAACTCCATTGGAATACTCCTTTGCTGCTGCTCCTTATTCAACTGGCGGAGGATTTTGTAGATCATTATTTTGATCGTTGTTGTTTGCCATCCTTTTTTTGATATATTTATCACTTCAAAACTTTATGTGTGCGAGACGATATAAGGCTCTGATACCATGATTGAAGCTGGAAGAAGAAGTGAAGTGATATGTGCAATAAAATGGATCTGCCGAATTTCTCTATTATCTTCCTAAGCAAAATGTATTACAAACCAGAATATATACAAGACAAAGCACAAGACAAAGCCAATAAAAAGATGACAGCTCACCTAAATAACTAACAGAAAATAAAGTGAGGAAACACGTGAAAATGAACGTGAAAATGAAAAATAAAAGTCAACAGGGTTCAAGTCTAAAGATTAAGTATTATGTTGATGCAGAGATTTTCTGTGAAATACAACTTATTTCGTAAAAAGTTTCAGCCAACACGTTCTTTTATCCTTATCGTAGTATTTTTTCTCAAACAATTTCTTGAGTATTTATACTTTTATTTGCACATTTAGCCTCCATTTGGCCCCATTATTTCACAGTATAATTTTCTATTCTATTTTCAATCATATAATTTTACATAAAATAATATTATATGTAGATCGAAATTTTTTTCTTCTATTTCAATTACGCATTCTTAAAAAAAAAAAAAAAATACTATTTCAAAAATTAAAATTGAAATAATGGTGGCCAAAAGGGGGCTTAAATTGAGTTTATTAAATGTTACACATTAAACCACTTGATTTTGTATTCTTAAACCTTTTGTGCGTATAGACAATTCAAATACATCAACTGTATCCTATCGGGAAAAAGAGAAAAAGATTGAACTGTTCTTGTCCTCATGGTACTGCGAGCAAAACAGCTTCCTCCAAACATAAAACCTAACGGCGGCTTAAATTAGGAAACCTACACCGACAAACATTCATAAAAATCTTAATTCTTCAACCCCAATTATAAATAGAGTAATGCTATTTGGTATAAATAGAATATTATTCTTATAAATATAGCCATAATTCTACAATCAGCTCAAATTTCTCGGATCCCTATACTTCCCTGCTCGGCAAATCTCTCTGCAAAGGTACTTGTCAATTTCAATTCTATGTTCATGTTTTTAAATTTAATTTATACAGATAGCTATATTTTATATAAAAATTTAATTGTAATTGGTAGAAGTACTTTGATTTTTATTTCTTTGATTGTGATGAAATCTGATGAAAGGCTGAACCCTGGATGCTCTTTTTTTGTGTGCCCTTTTCTGTAAAAAGTTGTTTCATCTTACCTAGAAAGTGAATTTACGGATAACGGATGAACCGTTTTACTGAAATATGGTCATAGTAGCATGTATTTTCAATTTTCATTGAACTACATGTTACCTTCACACAATGACACTGAAAAAATTCAGCCAACTCTTTTTCCTTTATTCTTACAGTAGTATTTTGTTCTCAATTTCTCAATATTAATACTTATTTGCTCATTTAAGTTCTCTCTGTTTGTAGATATCCTTTCTTTCTAGTTTGAGTTTGTGCCGTTACATGGATTCAACGGATTGTAATTACTCAAGTTATGTGGCTCGCAGTGTAAATCTTTTATGCTGGATTATGCCGGGAAGGAAGCACAGATATATTATATATTGATCGATGTTAATCTTTTATTAAATATTCTAACATACTTTTCAATCATTTTACACGAAAGTATTTCATAATTAATTAATTGATAATTCTAACTAATCCAATAAAACAGTATTTCTGAATTATTGTAAAGAAAATTCACTTTTGCTTTAATATAGCTCAAAGAATGAAGGAAAAAAAATAAGGCGGAAATATGAATGCTCGTTGCTGCACTGACACACTTAATTTTCTTCGTAAGTAAATATTTTTGTTGTGGGACTGATTAAAAAAGTCATCTTTTTTCCTATTTCACTTATTTCATTATTTTCATCTTGAATTTACGGGCTGCAGTTGATAGCTGAACATGGCAGATTGGACGGATCTTCCAATGGACATTTTGGTTGTTATCGCACAATGTTTAACTGTAATAGAGGACTTTACTTCCTTTATTGCTGTTTGTAAATCATGGCAATCAGTGACTTCAATATTGAAGAAGAAACCTTCATTGCCTACTAGATATCCCGGTATAATGCTTGCTGAAAAAAATAGATACGGAAGATCAAGAGAATCGAGATGATCAAGATGCATCTATTCGTTGTTTTCTAAACTTATTAACCTCTAAGACATACTTACTCCAGTTGCCAGAAGTGAAGGGCAGGAAGTGCACAGGAGCACATTACGGATGGTTGTGGACAATTGGCATTGATTTGCAAATCAATTTATTGCATCCCTTCTCCAGACAACAAATTTGCCTACCTCCTATGCTGACCTTCCCTGATCAGTATGAATATAATGAGAAATTCAAGCCACAAGAGGTTTGGGATGGCTTTGTTTCGAAAATAGTGATGTCCTCAAATCCTCTTAAGGAGAAAAGTTACATGATTATAATGAGGATAGTACTATGGTTGCTATTTATGGAGAATTTGCTATATTGGCTTTTACAAAATTAGGAGATACTGTTTAGACTAATATCTCCTTCCAATCTTGTGTTTATCTAGATATTATTTTCTACAATGGCAAATTTTATGCCGTAGATGTTCATGGAGTCGTAGTTGTTTGTAACTTTGATGATGTCAATGGCCCATAAGCAACAGTTATCGCCCTTGCTCCAACTAAAACGAATGATACATATCAGAAGTATCTAGTCGAATCATCAGGACATCTTCTACTTGATGGAAGTTTCCGAAAGGGTATTTCAATTGATTTCGATGATGATGTTGACAATGAGGAAGAGGGTGATGATGATGATGTAGAAGAAGATGATGTTGACAACGAGGAGAAGGGTGATGATATTGAGGAGGACATGGGTGATGTTGATGGTAATGATAATGTTGATGAGGTGGAGGATGTCAAAGACAGTGTCAACGAAGAGGAGGAAGCTGGATACTATACAACTGGCTTTTTGGTTTGGAGGCTGGATGAATGTCATGAGGAGGGGAGGAATTATGCACATAGATTAACTCAATTGACTAGTTTACGAGATCAAGCATTGTTCTTAGGTAGTAATGTATCTACATCAATTGCCTCGTCAGAATCTATCAAGCCAAATTGCATATACTTTACAGATGATAACGTTGAGCTCTATTTCGATGAACCAGGCGGAGGTGGCCACGACACGGGAATATTTAACATAGAAGACAGAACCACTCAATTAAAGTATGCAGGAGAATCTCGTAGTAATCTTTCACCTCCATTGTGGTACATTTGATTTCCAAGGACATATTTCATTTTCTGCTTGTCATTTAAATTATTCCTTTCAAAATTGAGTGGAATGAAGTATGTACTAGTTCTGTTCAATTGTTGTTCATTTAATTCTACAACATATTGGCTCGATATTTTATTTTGGAAAAGCTACAATCAAGCTTAAAATTAGTTACTTAAGGAATTCGAGATTAACACACATATTCTGCCATGTTTTAAGTCTTTAATCCTATTTTCACTTCTAATCTCCTAACAAAAAAGCTTGCTCTTTATCATCACATTTATGAACAACGCAATCTCGATTTTTTAGGGATTTCATGAATAAACATGAATTTGTTTTTTTACAAGCTTTCCTGAAACATTAGTTCAAATAAGACAATTGGGTTGAGATTGTTGTTGATGATTGATAGTGCAACCACATAAAATGGTAAAAATCAACTTGTTGCAGAGGTAATAGATCATATTTCTCGAAGGAAAAAACCATTTGTACAGAAAAATAGTTGACATGCTTGTTGACAGATACTCGCATTACCATGAGACTCGCGTGAATAAATTTTTTTTTTTTAAAAAAGGGGCCCTCCATATTGTGAGTATTTGTCAACTAATTTTGTCAAACTCTTTTGTACGAATAGCGGGGTTCTTTCTCGAAAGGGTAGTTGAAGTTATGAAAATCAAGTTGATAAAAAATTAAAAAAATTCCAACCTGCAAACAGTTTCAAAGAAAATAGACGTATACTCAATTAAGCAAACAATTGCTGAAGGCCCATGTCTTCTCGCCTCTTCTCATCTCTTTCTTCCTTAAAAGAGGGGCTTTGGGTTCACTAATCCTTTTTGCCACGCCCCTTTTCACACTTGGTTAACTGTTCAAAACTGGTTCTCTACTGTTCACCACCCATTTGTACATGAGACTACGCCGTTTTCCATTACTGTTCATTATCCAGTTTCCTTAAGCAGATTAACCCTTTCCTGTTCCTTTCATTTTCGCTTTCCCTCAAATTGCATCTCTTGATTAATATACCTGGAGCTTTCCTTAACCATTAAGGAGAGAAATTAAAGAAGAAATCAATGATGAAGCACAGAATGATGTATCCATAGCAAATGGAGATTCTGACTCTTACGAGAATCAGCCAAAAAGGAAGAAACATAGAGAAAAAGAGAAACGATGGGAAAACGACATTGTATCGCCAGATAATGAGATGCCCCCCTTAAACACTGTTGTTCCTGGCTCCATTATCCTCAACATTTTGTCCTGTGAACTCGCGACTCGGGTACTTTCTGTTTGCCCACGCTGTGAAAACTGAGCTTTTTTTTGAGAAATGGAAAGGCTTTTGTGTCTATATATTTATGTATTTGTTTATTGATTGGGCTTATATATGAAGAAGATGAAATTTTGAATCAAATAATCGAGAGGTTTTGGCTTTTCTACTGTAAGAGAAAACTAAAGGTGTTTTTCCAAGAAAGGAGATTTCCTGTCTGTTCAGTGTTTGATAATTGGACAGCGTAATGAAAATACTTAAAAAAATTTGAATTCATTATTCTAAAGGTTTCTCGTGGTGAGGTTTGCATTTAGCTGAGATATGAGATAACAAAGTGCATGATTTCAATGAAAAGAATTTTTGCATGTTAACTGTTTTTATAATTTGAGAATGTTACGAAAAGAGTCAATATGTAAATAGAATAAATAAAGAGTTTTCAGTTTTTTACTTTGATGTTGGTTTTGTACATTGTTTTGAATTATCATATATGATATAACAACTTGCGATGATTTTTTTTGTTTTTAGGTTCTAGCTGAAAATTTTTGTTCATCAATATCTGCTTATGTTCACTTTTTTTTCCCCCAACAGTTGGCTGGTCAGATCGCTCGTGCTGCCACCATTTTTCAAATTGATGAGGTTCCTTTTACTATGGTTACTCTTTTAATAAGCGTTCTTCTTTTTTTTTTTTTTTTTTTTTTTTTTTTTTTTTTGGTAAAAAGGACTAATCTTTATTGGTTTTGTTAAGTTCAGGGACAACTAATTGACCTGGATTTTCCTGGAAATTTTATTGGTAGATTGATGAAATATTTCTCGTACTTTTTGGGTTGGGTTCACTTGAAAAATTAGTTGTTGAATATCTGAAATTTAGTAAAAAGGAACAATAGAAATTTGTCGTAGGTGAGCTGAATAATTTTAGCTGCCCTAATCCTCAAGTTTTCACCGGCTCATGGAACATACAAAAAGGAAGATTCGAAGAGGGTAGTGGGCACTTTATAGTACTGTAATGGCTTTGTAACTATTGTTATCGTTATGGTTTGACGCCGGATAGGATAATGATTATCCTATTGGCTTGTTGTAGCAGATGATTCGCAAGAAAAGAATGATAGAAAACGCCCAAAAAAAAACAGAGAAAATACTCTGAATTCAACTCAATATTATTAATAATGCAGAATGCTGAAAACGAACCCACAAGCCGGGTTAAATAGCTGCGAAATACGAAATTATTGAAAAATTACCAAAAATGGCAAAATCCCGAAATTATACCAAAATAAAATATTAAGTAAAAGAAGTAAGTTGCCAAAAATTTGGCTTAATTCGAGTTCTCTAACATATAGAAAAAAGGAAACTAAATATTACCATAAATAGTAAAAAATAACTTAAAATTGAATTTTGGAAAGGAAAACAGTGGATTTTGGGCTTGAAATTGACGTCCACCGAGCAAAGCTGGTGGCCACGACGTGCGCGCCGAAGAGAGCTTTCCGAATTGGGGTCATAATAACGATTCCGATAACCGTAGCCAAAGTTATGGCCAAATTACCAAAGACGCGTCAAAATCTCCCAATTAAGGAAATAATGGTGATTTACTTTCCATCTTTGCGCCGATCCGCCATCTCATGGTATCTCAGCGCCATCATCATGCAATCTGACAAATCAGCATCACTTGACTCGAATCCTCCTGCATCAGTTTGAGCATTCTAGGTTTTTGTGTGCCTGTCATATCATGTTTAGAGATATAAGAAATGTAATTAGCTATTGAATTTGTTTAATGATACAAAAAATTCGTCAGTATGTTTTTGTTCTTGTTTAAACAGGTGATGGTATTTGACAACAAGAGTAAATCAAAGGACGATTCAACTGATATGGTGGAAAATAATTTAGATGAATATGGGACTGGAGCTGCTTTTCTTTATTTTCATGGGTAAGTCATATGGTTAAATGTATAAACATAATACTTAAATTGTTCTTTACATGAACATGATATTTGATCATTACTTTTTATGTCATAAATGTTTCTTATAACATACTCATACTTGTCAATGTATTCATAAGCATATATGAAGTTTCAAGAAAAAAATTTCCAAATATCAATGAGTCAATGACTATTTCAAAAAGATATGCATCCCAAATATTTTATTACCAAGGTGGATGTCTATATCATGAAATGTGTGAGGGTCCCGTGGACCCTATCAATGTTCAATGATAATGTTAATATTAATCCCTTTGCTATATATTGGTAGGACAAATCAGGTTCCAAATAATAATTATCCATTGCATTCTGATTGGTTGGCAATATATCAAGTGAGTTCACAATATTAATGTTAAGTTTAAAAAAAAAAAAAAATTGAAGAAAAGGAGGATACATATTGAGAAATACTTTATTTTTATAAGTTATTCATATGCCTATCATAAGCATGCATAATATGCGTGATGTTGCTTATTGAACGTTAGCTCAATCCACTTTATCCCTCCTCATTTTTCAAATGATGAAGGCAAGATGATTCGAGATATGACTTGTGGTGACAGGGATTGAGTATTATCAAATTAAAAAATTGAATTCTTTTTGTAAATTAAATTAACATTTAATTTAATTGTTCTATATTTTTATTAAGCACAAACTATTTTAAAATAACAAGTCATTGATGTTTATTATGTTGAAAAAATTAAGTCATCTTTTTGCATTTATGATTTTAAGAGAAATTAAATGATAATACATCTAGATCTAGTTATCTAGATTTGGGATGTTATACCTATATCATTTCATTTCAACCTTTGGTCATAACTTTCGTATTATTGCACTCATTTATCTCAGATCTTATAGATTTCAAAACTGTCTAAGCTGTAATAGAGTTTTTGTTGTGTACTTTGTTAAAAAATATTTCTGCGGACGGCACCAATTTATTGATGATAATAATCGAATCAATAGATCCTCTTACCTAATTATGAACTTCTCCTTCTAAGCTCACTAGTTCGATACTCAAACTTGGAGCAAGAGGGAAATTGGCTATTTGAGAGAGAAATATTGGAATTACATGCTTTACTCTTCAAAAATGGTGGTATTTATAGATTTTCCTCTTCAAAGTTGTATTGCCTCGACTTTGCTTGGGTCAGTTGGAACTCCTTTTTGACAGATTACATGGTCCAAGTACTTAATCTGAAGCTGTCCAAAATTGCACTTGGAGTATTTATCATACAATTGGTGCTTTTGTTATATCTTTACAGTGTAGATGATAGTAATGGGCTGACAAGCCAGGGCTGTATACTAGTATGTCATCAAAAAAATAAAAAATACAAGCACATAGCTTCTTAGTTGATTCTTTAACACTTAATTCATAAGGCTTTCAAAGTTAGTAGGTGTATTGGTGAGACGAAAGGGCATCGGTCTTGGAATAGTACTTTAACCCATTGCGTTCATCTAGTAATTCATCAATGAGTAGGTATGGGAAATTTATCCTTGATTTTTAGGTTATTTAGTTGCATATAATCTATGCAAAATCTCCATGATGGATTGTTGCTGGATTGGATGATTCCACTATCAAGCATTTCTTTGACCAATTCCCTATTTTTGTCTTCTGGATAAATGGGCATCTATATGGCCCGATTATGAACGGTTGAGCTCCTTCTTTTAGTGGAATGTGGTGGTCATGTGACCGAGAATGAGATAGACATCACCTTGACTTAATGTTGTAACACCGCGTGATTTCCATGATAGATGTTTATGCTTCCTTACTTTTAATTTAGCGTTCAATTGATAATTTTATCATTATTGTGATTAATTTATGTTTGCAGCGAGATGTATCTTGGATCCACTAGAATATCAACATGCCTATTAAACTAAATTATCATATACACATAATTATATTAGAGCTTGGAGTAAATTATAATTTTATCAATTTAATTAATTATACGTTATGATATCATGAGTTGTCAATTCCATATATCTAGTTAATGATCCCAGAAGCATTCATTTTTTTCCTATAAGTCAATTTTATTAGGACCACGCTATTCGTACCCGAGTGTTTACACGTCCGGTTACCTGGCCCCACCGCCCCCCTCACATGGGGGTCGGGTCCCACACGTGGGCCCCGATGTGGACCTCGCCCCATGTGATGAGGGTGGTGGGGCCGGGTAACACGCCCGGGTACAAACGGCATTATGCATTTTGTTAATAGAATTGATAATTAGACATTCATTTAATTATTGAAAAAGTTAATAGAAACAAAATGGAATTTCTTACCTTCTTGTATGTATGATTACCATAAATGAATGCTCTAAAATTGAGATTTGATGTTTCTTAACTTGGATCGGATACCTTGACTTATAAAATAAGGTAAAACTTTCACATTTTTCCAAGGCAGGAAACGTTCAGTGCTCTTTCCATTTCCTTGTTTTCATTGTTGTGTTGGACATTATTTTCGAATAATCTTGTCAATATACACTATTATTTATTGGAGTTTAATAAAGCAATTGTAAGATTTGATATTTTAAATGATTAAAAGAAATGAATAATCGTAAGAAAAAAAGAATAGAAATTGAGTATGTTGAAGTTTCGAGTATATGGAAATGAACTAGGACATTTGATATGTTGAATATGTCGGCGATCAAGGACATCTCCACTTGTAGTCAAAAGTGAATAGCAAAGAATTCCAAATTCCAAGTAAACCTCCACTTGTCTTCTTACATATATTACTTCGTTAAATATGTAAACGTGTCATCTAAATTGGTATTATGTAAAATTATTATGTGATCATTATATTTTATGTCATAAATGCTTTTAATGATCATTTATACATATCAATTCAGCTATAAGCATGCATGAAATTTCATGAAATAAAGAGTTTTAAAATGTCATTGTGAGAAGGATTGTTTTTAGAAAGATATGTATCCCAAATGTTTTTATTACAAGGTATATGTCTATGCCATGAAGGAGTGAGTGGGAAATAGGGCGTGGGAAACCGACGCACCCCTCCAATGATCAATGATGTAAGTTCTATATTAATGTTAATCGCTTTGCAGTACTATCCATAGATTCGAGCAGGTTCCGAATAACTATTCTGATTGGCTAGGCGATACATCAAGTGAGCTCTTGATGTTAATAATAAGGTTTTTAAAGAAATGAAATAAAAGTGGATACATAGTGAAAAATATTTTTTACTTTAAAATAATTCATAAGTATGCAGTATATGCAAGGGATTCGTTTACTGAGCATTAGCTCATTTCACGTTATCCCTCCCAATTTTTGTATTACAAAGACAAGATGATTTTGAGATGACGACTTGCGGTAACACGAACTCAATATTAATCAAATTTAAATATTGAATTCTTTTTGTAAATAAATATAACATTTAATTTAATTGTCTTATGTAAGTGAAAGTCATTAATTATTTTATTATGTTAAAGAAAAATCTAATTGTTTTTTCGTATTTATGATTTTTAGAGAAAATAAATGACAATACTTCCAAATCTAACCCAAATTTGGAGTGTTGCAAATGTTGTGGTGCTCATTCATCAACTCTACTTCCTCGTGGCTGTACTTGAACCTGACATATCCTAATCCTATGTCAATGCCCCCAAGTTGAAGAGTCATTAGATTGTACCGGAATTTCCAATCATGTGACCTCCGTATGGCATAGCTTTACTCTCCAGTTTGTCACCATTGGCCACTTTAACTGTCATGGTTCTGGTTTCTTTAGTAGCATAACCCAGTTTTCTAACTAGCTGGCATAGCTTTACTCTCCAGTTTGTCACCATTGGCCACTTTAACTGTCATGGTTCTGGTTTCTTTAGTAGCATAACCCAGTTTTCTAACTAGCTGGCATAGCTTTACTCTCCAGTTTGTCACCATTGGCCACTTTAACTGTCATGGTTCTGGTTTCTTTAGTAGCATAATCCAGTTTTCTAACTAGCCTCTCATCTATAAAGCTGTGAGTACTCCCCTTGTCTATCAAGATAGAGATCTTCCTTCCCTTGATTATTCCAAGGACTCTTATTGTCTTATGCTTTAAACTTCCAGTCAAGGCACTAATAGAGATCTTCATTATCTCATCACCCTCTTGTTCACCTTCTGATTCGAACTCTTTGTCCTCCTTTGGCCCACTCTCCTCATCTTCATCTATCAACATAAAATTCTGGGACCTATGCCGTATGGGCTATGGCATATTTCTCATCAAATTTGTAACAATGTCCCAGGTTTCTTTTGGTTTGGAAGTCAGTGGGTGTGATGGTCTTGTAATTGTTTGGTGATTTATTGACTTTTGGCTATGGGTCATTTGGTTTTGTTTCATCAGGAGGTTTTGAGGGGTGGGAATTCCATTTGTTATGGTTTAGTGAAAAGTTTTTGGGTATTTGGAATCCGTTAATGGCTAGGATGGTTGATTCTTGAAGGCAGGCAATTTCAAAGGCCTTGGATAAGTTATCTGGTTTCATCGTTATGACCGTGGACCTTATCTATCCTTTTAATCCACTTGTGATGCTGGAGGTTCCACAAAGATGGAACGTGAATCACAAATATTTCCTTAATTGAGACAATTTGACCCGTTTTTAGTTATTTTAGTTAATTTTATTATTTTTTTTCCATTTAAAGTAATATTTTGTTTCTTTTTTTTCTAGGTGATTTAGAATCCAAATTGAGCCAAAATTTTGGCAACTTACTTCTTTGATTCCATATTTTATTTCGGTAAGATTTTTGAGATTTTGTTATTTTTGGTAATTTTCCATAATTTCGTAGTTTTGCAGTTATTTAACCCGGCTTGTGGGTTAATTTTCGTATCTCGATTATTAATAATATTGAGTGAAATTTTCAAAGAATTCTTTTTGTTTTTGGTGTCTCTTTCTTCTTCTTTTTTGCGAATCGTCTTCTGCAACTAGCCTATAAGATAATTGCTATCCTACCTGGCGTCAACTTGTCAACACAGATATGTAGTATGACTTTGGAACATGAGGCAATGCTAACATGACCTGGGACTTCAGCTCTTCAAACCTCTCTTGTTATTTAG